AAATTGTTTAATGTTAAGGGAATAAACCTCCTATTCAAAACTTATAGGAGGTCAACTATTGAAGTAGAATTATGTGATAGTGTACATAAGTGTGACATCGCTATGATTGGGCTGTCGCGATTTATATTGTTTCCCCCAACAGATCATATAAAAATCTCTTTCATAAGCATGGTGGAGGTTGGTCGCAATGTCACTTGAGCAACTGCCTGTCTCTGGACTAATTGTGCTATGCTGTGTAAATGGAGCCAAACAAGCGCAACACCAAGCTAGTCGCAAAAAAGCCATGATCATGTTAATTACGATTTTAATTGTATGACCTTTTGAGGGTATATACGACAATAGTTAATATTTTAAAATTTCAAATAGAACTACAATCATTTAGCTTTAGAATTTTCTTTACCAACCTGTTCCTTATACCGCAAATTCAGAAATTCATTTTCTTCCTTTTCTTCCAATGATATGGCTTCTGCAGGAATAAGAGATGTAGGGATTACTGAATCCTCGTATATATCAGAATTACCAGGGCAGTCACTTCATGGTTAGGTGTGTTAGACTTCTCATTACGCGAGACTATCTGTTCAGAAGCGTCATCAGAATTTATTTCAGGAGTATCGTTATAAATGGATACTTGTGTATTTACCGGGTTCTGCAAAATATTAGCGTTCTTGTCTTGCAAGTTCTCTTCCCTGATTAGTGAAACGTCATATTCCAGTTTTGTGAATCTGGTTTCATGTTCTCCCAAAATTTCATATTTTCAGCTTTGATTCTGGTATCCTCAATTTCAACGTCAGCAAATTTTTTTCTAAGTTCAGAAATCTCGGCATTCTCCCGACTAAGTTTATCATTCTCGGCTACAAGCTTGGAGATCTGTTCTTCTAATGATTCAATTTTAGATTGTGTATTTGCCATTTTTATATAAATACGGATATGTTTAATTACATTAGTATTAGTGAATAAAAATCAAGAGTGCGTTCTTTTTCGGAACGCCGATCACTTTTGCCAAGAAAAAAAAATAATAATGGTAAAAATTCGCATACAACAATCAACCAATCAAGATTGATAAGGGCGGAGCCCCATTGCTTCGCCGCTACCGTTACATGATTGTCCCTCCGGCATATATACCCCCGTGATTTGTACCCTCCTTCTAACAGCCAATTAAATTTAAGATCAGTAAAATTTATTAATTAATATTTATTCCCAAACATTACTGCCTCCGACTTCTTCATATTCTTCACCGTCAATACTAGTGAAATTCATTACTTCAGAATTTCCATCATTTTTATTCTCATCTAACAATTCATAATCAAACACTACATCATCCTCCGTCCCGTCCATTTCGACCGAAACCCCACAACACTTAAACGCTTTTACAATCAAATGAATATCAACTTCTTCCCATGAATCTCTTACCCATTGAGCAAGAGTACCATAGGATGGTTTCTTATACGCCCAGCAGGTGTTAATTGATGAATAGTATTAGCCATCCACTCATCATAGCGTTGACGTACCTAAAAATTTAAATTTGATTAACACTAAATATTCAAATAAGTTAATGATTGTACAGTAACGGAATCCATTAAGTGACCCCTAAAGGAGTCCAAAACAAGAAGAGATTCTGGTTTCGCCACTTCACTACATCTAGTCCAAACGTTATTAATCCAGTAATGCATTTCATGCTCATTGCACCATCCTTTTTCATTTACTCTTATAATAACGTTTGGAGGAAACACATCACGAGGGATGGTTTTCAATTTAAAAATGCACATGGCTGGAAGTTTTGTTCCATCAGCGAGGCATCCGAGGATTACAGTAAAATTTGTCCTTTCATGCCGGTGGTTTTGATACCCACTGTCTTAGATCCACGCTTTTCAATGGTAACTGGACTAGGCATATCAAACGAGAGTGGCGTTTCATCCATGTTGCCAATAAATTTAACAGGAAAGTTATATTCCCGACGTTTAAACAAAATAAAACTTAAAAATTCACTTTGTTTTCATAAAGATTGTCAGGAAGATGCTGCGAAACTGTTGTACGCCTTCAATTTGACAAGTTATAGCGACACAGGAACCGACCCAACCAACTCCGGGAAAATTTAAAGTTGCCAATATTAGGGTATCTATCCTTTTTAACAGCCATGTTTCGAGTAACAGCATTCTGCTCATTACGACGTTCGTTAATCCATTTGACAAGCTTTTCTTCTAACAATGGAAAGTGAGCCTGGCGACCACGGTTAAGCGTTAAGATGTAAGGTGCAACATTCAAAAGGTCTTGTTTTTTCTTCACCCATTCGCGAACCTGTTTTGGTTCGATTTCAAATCGTCTTGCGGTTGCTCTCACATTTTTAACGTGCTCATGACCATAAGTTTTTCTTTAGCATTCCATGAACGACGAACTTTATTAGTAATGCGAGTGCTTTTTTTGATGTTGTTTCTTCGCGGAGACATCTTAATGTTAGATAAGTTTGCGTACGTTTGCAATGAATATGTGAGTTTTTTTTTTCTTTTTATTCTCAGGGGGAACAAGTTGCAGTCGCAGAATCCACGAGGCCATATACTGAACCAAGACATGAGACACTGGGAGACTTATGATGAGTAGATAAATAATCTGACTTTTAATTAAGTTCTTTATATACTATACAGTATTAGTAGTAGTATCTAATAAGGCGCGTTTAATTATAAATATCGATATACTTATGATTTTTCATAAGTAATTTAATCTCTTGGTTCTTTGAGTCTACTTCTGCCATCTTTATGTCCTTACGCATCTGCGCAACAATACCTTTGTCTAACGTTCTTAGGAAACCGTCTTCGTCATTTAAATTGAAAAAAATAATGTCATAATATTCTGGATGGGTTTTAGGTGGATTTTGTAACGTATTGTACCCATCAACATACTTTGAATACGTCTTTTAGTTCGGTTTTTTCTTGCAACGTCACTTAAGCGAAAAAATATTCTCTGCATTCGTTTACCATTGTCTTGCCCGTGCATGTCTGAAACGACGAATATCAGTATATATGTCATAAAAGTCTAGGAAATAATAATCACGTACCTCCAGCCATTTCAAATAGTTTTGAGCAAATGCTCGAACACAAGCTGGAACAACGAGTAACACACAAATTTGATCCAAACTTTTAACAAACACTTTGAAGAGTTGTTCAAAACCCAGCCCAGTCTCCAACTTAGCAATATACTTGACAAAGACACTTAGTGACCACTGTGAGGCAGAGACACTCTTAAAAAATTCGTGAATGCAAAGTGCATTCTTGTCTATCTGATACTTTGAAGAATTTGGTTGCGTTAGCGTCTAGTCGTGGTTCTCTGATAATATCGGACATGGCAGTGTCAAGGATGAAAACGCGTTAGTACTAGGGATAGGGAAACGGAAACCGTTTAAGTCTATCGCGTTTTAATGTTGTACGAACTTTTGATTTCTATGGCCAACATGATAATCAGATGATCATCTTGTATTTTGCCCATGCAACTTGCGCCTGTCAACCTGACGGCAAGTTGTGTCTGGAAGTGCAAGGGGAGATTATCATGCCTGTCAACTTGACGGTGACCTCCTCTTTGCAGTCGCCTACCACATTCATGCCTGCCAACTTGACGGTGATGTGGTAGAGGTACGTGCAGAACGACCTCATGCCTGTCAACCTGACGGTGAGCGTTCTGCACGTAAAGGTAGGCCACCGTGTCCCGCGCCTGTCAACTTGACGGCGGAGCGGTGGATGTTTCTTTATTATATTTAAATACGTTTTATCCTTTGACAAGAACAAACTCAACAAAATAACAAATGTATAGGCTATCGATCAACGCTTATATTCCGTGTGTGAAGCTGAAAGCTAATTCTCTATCGAGACAAGGAATGAGCACATTCTTGTCGAGCACCAGGTGAGCGACCTAGCAACGTCTGCACCACCAATTGAGACATGTTTGCTTCGAACTTGCTCAAGTATCTTGTAATCATGTTCTTCGGTAGCATGTTCTAATATCGAATCCCAAAATGAAACGATTTCCTTGGACTGACATGATGTATTATCACTTATTAGCTCTTTTGCAAATTGGGAATAACTCAATATGTTGAATATAGTTCTCTATGAATACGGTAAACTTAAAGCTGTTTTTTGATACGAGTAGCTGGAGCATTTCACGCAAAGCTTGGTCGTTTCGAGGTGAGTATTTCCCGCTGTCGCATACAACGTCGAACACCGCTCCATCATTTTCAAGTGCTGGTGTTTGGTATACTGCACGTATGGAATAGATCCAGCATTCGTGCAACTTGCACAATCGAATATCGAATTACGGGAGGAGTTAAATCGCGAGGTAGATATAAATCGTACGAATGAAAGAAAAATTCGTAAACTTATACAGGATTTAGAAAACGTGAGGGAGAGTTAATACGCCGTAGTACCACTATCCAAGATCAGGAAGACGAGATCCAAAACCTAAAAAATCAAATAACAGATTTACGCAAACAATTAAGATCGGCTCTCAAGAAAATTAAGGCAAACGAAACCGTTATTGATGCCAAAAATAATCATATAGCCGGGTATGAGGAGGATATTTAAGACTTAAGGCGAGAATCAGTGAATTAACACGCCACAAAAAAATATCGCCTAATCAAATAGAAATGGCAAATCTTACTCCACCGAGAATACCAGTATCACCGAGGATGGATAATACCCCCAGAACGTTTGGATCCGTCAGTCAATCAATTAGAAATAAAATACGTAGGAATACCGATTCATCACTGACTAACTTTGTCGAATATGCATTGGACGAATTAAACCAGCTTTATAATCAATCTCAAGTTGATTTAGCGTCAGAAAGAGAAAATACTCGAATTGCCATCGATGATGCTATGAGCTGGCAAAACACTACTGCATATATATCGGACGATGTGGAGAAAAGCCATAAAGGCGAAAAATTAATGCACACATTCTGGCAAGTCTATTATGAAATAAATACAGCCCGGTTATTAACGGAAATTTTCGCACTCAAGATTCTTTGTAATAAGTATAAAAATAAAGCCCAACCGCGCGCTATTTTATATGGGAAATACAATAAATGGAAAAATAGGACGAGAGCTAAGCACGCTAAATATAGCAAGTGGAAGCTTAGAACGAAGCTAGTCCGCGATGCCAATTTAGAACTTGAAGATCGAATTAATTTTTTAAATCAAAGAATTTTAGCGCTTCAGAATAATCAACCTATAAATCTGAACATGGCGGCCGCCGATAGACAACATACAGTGGTGTGCAAAAAAATGACAATTGTTGAAACTACTCTGGCTTTACAATGAGCAAACTAATATATGCATATAATACATCATTTTAAAGCTTGAAAGCAGTAGATTTTATTACTATGAATTAATAGGATATTAGTTCACCCCTTCTTTCAATAACCTCTCTACAACGTTGCTTCATTGAATCTACCAAACTGATTAGAAGGCTATCCGGGATATTATTCCACTCTTCAACTGAAAACCTCTCCAATTCACTGAGATTTTTAGGCTTATGTTTTTCCACATTTCTCTTAACAATTGCCCAGAGGTTTTTAATGGGGTTTAAGTCTGGACTGTTGGAGGGCCAGTCCATAACTGTAGGAACATTTTTCTGAAGAAATTCCTTAGCAATGTGACTAGTATGCTTAGGATCATTGTCTTGCTGTAGTCGCCATTTGCCTTTCAGTATGCTCCTTACCTCTGGTAGACACATTTCTAGTATCTCAGTGTAATATTTGCATCCATTATTTGTCTAAAACAAAATAATGATGTCTTGCCTTTTACGCAAAATCCACCCCATGCGAAGATTTTGCGTCGGTCCTTTGGTATTGGCCGAATTGGTCTCACACCCCTATACCATTGTTTTATTGTATTGCGAAACAGTTGGAGGGAAGTCTCATCACTAAATAAGGTCTTATTCCAATTATCATCTATATGCTTTTTGGCCCATTCAATATGCTTTTGCTCATGATCTGATGTGAGCATAGGAGTATTAAGAGGGAGTGCATTTCGATACCCATGCTCTGCCAAATGCCTTGTTACAGTTGAGCATGAGACTTCTACTCCAATGTTTTTTAACTTATCCACAATTTTTTTTGCAGGATTTCTCCAAACATATTGGCCGATTGCTCGAGAGGTGCCAGCTGTTACGTGTATTTTTTTATGGCAGCCATTCCCTCCTTTATGTTTTATATCACCAGTTTTATTGAGTTTTTTGAGATTACAGTATATAGTTTTGAGTGGATTTAGTTTTGAGTGGATTTCAGAAGCATTACGCGTTCTCTGCTTCCATAATTGTAATATCATTTGACGTTGGTCTTCTTGCTTAGATGGAGCCATTTTGCAACAAAATAAAAACAAGAGTTGAAGGATAATTGGAACAATAAAGCGCGTAAAATAACAACTCAGTAATCAAGCTTTTGTTTTTATTTTACATGATGCAATTTAGTCCGAAATTGGGAAAGTTACATATACACAAACTGCGTTGAAACATTTTGTCATTTTTTTTGCACCACTGTATTTATCAAACTATTCAAACAAGTCTTGCCCATATTCCATCATATATTAATATTGGGCAGGAACCACCAGATGATTATTGTAATAGGATTGAAACAGCCATCAGCTATACTGATACAATGCTAATAATGCAAATGCCAATACTTTTACTGATGTGCATAAGGCAGATATTTATAAATTGAAAATGGCAGGAAAGTATTTACCAGTTCCACCTCAACATGCAGGAAATAATATTGATACTCCAGCTCGCTTTAGAGCATGGCTTGGAGATACCTATCTACAAAGAACAGTTGGTACTCGCCAGTCTGCTAAAGATTATCTCAAGAAACATTTAAGACTGATGATAATCCAGAAATGTATGAAGCTAGAATTTGTCAATATCTATTAGGTGTGCCTGATAATGATGCTAATGCTTTGGGATTTCTCATGGCTCATTTACCTGATGAGCTTTTTATTCGAATGGAAGGAACAAATCCTGGTGGTATCACAGATTTCTTTACTACACTTAAAGAATTATGGCTTAAGTGTCAACCATCACTTGGCTCTAGAGGCTCAATTCCCAATCAAATTCCTCAAACTCCAGCTGGTATATACAAAATAAATCACATTCTGATAGTAGTGATATAACTCGAGCTGAAATAGATATGATAAAATCACAATTAGCTTTAGTACCAACTACTTCTCTTCAACCTACACAGCCCACTTCTCTTCAGCCTACACAACCCACTTTTTCTCAAAGACAAGAAGGACAATTATTATGACCCAGTCAAATGGAACCAGGTAAAATATATCAGGATCCTAATTTACACTTGAATGACCAAGAATGGCTTCAAATGGATGAAGTGACAGATCGTCTTAGTGCTTTAACAGGCCCATCTACTTTACAATCATTAATGGATACTATTAGTAAAGGAGTAATGGATAGAATTATGCCTTTCTTACCAAATAAGAAAAATAATACTTCTAATGATGGTATGGATGAAATTACTAAGGGTATGTCAGAATTATCAATAAATAAGGCTATAGCCAAAGGTGTATCTAAAGGTATATCACAAGGAATGAAGGAAGTATATGCTGTTAATGTATCATCCAAACACCATTGTTCAAAATGTCATAGAATTGGTCATCATTCAAATTCTTCTAGATGTCCAAAAAATAAAAAGAAAAGCAGATCCAAGAAAAAAGGTTAATATGGCTATCAATGACTCTGGTTCTGATTCAGGTTCTGATTATAACTCTTCCAATAATGATTCGGATTCTGGATCTGATTCTGATGATACCTCCTCTGAAACTGAGAGTATGCAAGTTAATATCACTAAGTCAAAAAAAAAGTAAACCAGAAACAGAATTCCAAAAAATCTGTCTAAGAAAAAAGGATCGAAATCTCGAATTTCCAACTCATCCAAACCTCGCAAGTCAAAGCAGACCTCTCCAGAAGAAATCCGTGAAATTGTTATGGATATATTAAAAGAACTATTACCTCTATATTTGTTACAAAGTCTTAAACCCAATTTCAACCCTATAAGGCCTGCTTTCACAGAAAAGCTACCCTCCATTCAAGATAGACCCGAAGAGTCTTTGCAAAGCAATAATAATTACCGAGAACCAATCCCCGAAATACCTGATTCAGATGAGGAGGATGAGACTTTGGATGATCCTATGGAGATAGATTTTGTCCGTCGGAAAGAACCGGTAATTAGTATTGCGACTATACCAGTTAAAATTAAACGCTTAAAAATTCCAGCATTGGTACTAGATAGTGGCGCCGAACCTGCAATTGTATCAGAAGATATCGTTAAACGTGTAGGTGGGGAAATAGATAAGTCGGAAAAATATGATCTTAGTGGTGTTGCTACTGTTTCAACAGAATCTGTTGGTATTACTCGTAATTTACCGATAACATTTTCTCCAGGTTTTACTATACATGAAGATTTTGTAGTTGTACAAGTTCCTAAACCGACATTAATATTCCCAAATCCACTTCTTAAAAAATATAAATGTGCTGTAGATTGGGGGGGTAATGATAAAATGAAAATCCATTACAATGGAGAAGATTTTATTATTCCGGTCACTATGTACAAAGTCAAGAATAAACTCGAAGTAAATTGCGCTACATCTCAGAATGATAGGACGGAGTCCCATTGCTTTGCAATAAGCCTTTGGTATCCGATCAAATTTCTCAGGAGGCGGATAGTAATGAGAGCGATAATGATCCATTGGAGGAATGGCATGCTCCTGCGGGTTTTAGCCTAGATTCCGATAATTCGACTTTAAAAAAAAAACGTATGAGTTATGAGGCGTTAGAAAAATCGCTATATACTACTCTCCAGTCTAAGGCTGAAATAAATGGTCTTTGTGAAAAGTTGCAAATGCGTTATGAAAAGCTACTCGAATGTATCTCCTCTAGAGATGATAGCGTAAATAAAGAAAAGATAGACTAAGTAGTAGCTAATAGGCGAGTCATATTTGCTTTATTTTTCTCATCTCTTCTGGCTTCTTTTTCATATAATGCATCCAGATCCTCGCTACTTATTATTATCTTTTCTGTAGGCTTGGAGAGCCATTGCTTTGTAATAGAGTTATTAGTAGGTATTGAATCAGATATATGAGAGTGGAGCTCATTATTACATAATACAGATTTAGTCCGAGATTTGGATCTTCTCTTTTTTGTTTCTGTATTGAGAGTGGTAGATTCCAGATGTAGGTTCAGAGAACTATGATTCAAAGAATCGTCTAAGGACTTGCTCTGCAATAAAACCTCACTTTCGATTCGTAATCGAGAATTTATTTGTTGTTGGCGTTCTCGATTTTCTATATAATCAACAACACGAGAGTGAGATATGCGATATTTTTTTGCCATTGTATTTATTGCATCAGGTACTACACCTATTACTATTGATCCTTTAATTTCTTGAATCGCCTCATCCGAAAGAAATGTTGCATTAGCACTATAATATTTTTTATGGATACGTCCCATATTAGCCACGTAAGTGTCCTGCTTTGCAGAAATATTTTTATTATCACATATAAAGAAAAGTTTTGAAATGTTTTGAAATATTAGTTATACATATAGTAGTTGATATATAATGAAAAATATACAAATATTCCAAAATATCTCGAAATGTTTTATTATATTTAAAAATATATAGATACAGTAACGTGCAAAAGTATCCTACCGGTTGTATCATCTAAACGTACATAATAATAACTCCTTAAATTTTCCAG